AGGCATGGAGTAACCAGGAGCTGAACCAGGCTGGGATTTGCTGGGGTCATGCCTGGCACGAGCTGGTGCCGTTCATCCTTTGCCGCAGTGAGCTTTACACTAAACGTAGGTCTTTCAAGGGGGAGGGATTTTTCCTGGTAAAATGAAATCCAGATCCCAGAGCAGAGCAGTGGTGCCATCAGAAGTCCCGTTCGTTCTGCTCTGTGTCCCCTCCAAGCCGCTTGCTCCTTATGGCCTACCCCCTGCCCACTCCCTGGATGGTGTCTCTGTTCGTGTCCCTCCAGCTGGAGCAGAAGCAGAAGGAGGCCCTGGAGCTCCTGGAGCAGAACCGGCACCTGCAGGATCAGCTCAAAGTGGCACTGGGCCGGGAGCAGAGCGCCCGGGAGGGCTACGTGTTGCAGGTAGGAGAGCAGGGAGGAGAGGGAGATGCATCTTCCTCTGCTCCCAAGGGGATCCCTGGTGTGCTTCAGTCTGAGGTGTTCTTGGGGACATCCTTGGTGTACCACAGAGTGGACTCTATGAGATTTGATCTTGCAAACATTGCTGAATCTGTAGCTTTGCCAGAATCATCTGCTTAACGAAATCTCTGATCTGGGATGGGATAGGAGGTAGCATTGCCTACTAGCATTCCCAAGGGAAAACAAAACACAGCTGTGATAGGCAGATGGAACCTCAGCAAAGTCCACCTCTGATCTGTCCCATACTGTGTTTGCCTTTGCAACAGCTCTTTCCCCAGTTTTGTGTCCCAGATACTCCCCTCAGGAAGTGGGGTGCACACAAAGCTTTCCAAGCATCCTGTAGCCCAGCAGGGATGGCCAGGGATTTTGTGTGATGGTTACATGGGCAAACACAGCACATGCAGGTGTATCTCCTGGGCACGTTCCCTGCAGCTAGAGCAGGATTTGCACCAGGGGTGACCTGTTGTCTTGGATCATTTTGATGTTTTTTTCTGTTACAAGATGCCTTTCCTCAGCAAAGCCTAGAAATGGGTTTTGGAGGATCTGGCAAAAGAGATGGGATGGTCTCTGGGAAAGCCTTTCCTCCCCTCCTCAAAACAAGTGGACTTTCCCAGCCCTTCCTCTGGGAACATCCATGCCTGGAGGCACTGTCACACCTGCAGGGCAGCTTCTGGCAGCTCTCAAGGGTCCATAGTTCTGCTCTGTGCAGGGGCAGCATTTTGACCTGCTCTAACCTACTTGACCAAAGTGGCTGTGGATCGAAGTGTCCGTGTGTGGCCGCACGCTGCACTGCCATGGCGGCAAACCCGGTGTTGACACCGAACCCTGTGCCCTTGTTCCTCACTGGAGAAATTTCCCCTGAAGAAATTGCACAGGCAGTGGATGCAGCCTGGGCAGGGTGATCCATGCCAGTGACATCCCAGGAGGAGTTACTAGTTCATTTATTTCTGGAGTCTCCAGGCTGACAGTGCCTGCTTGGAGGAGTTCCATTTTCACTTGGCAGTGCTTGAAGAGTAACTAACTCCCACTTCCCTGGGGCAAAGGCATCTGACCTCCCTTTGCTTGGAGCCTGGAAAAATCAGGGAATGGGCCTAAAATGGGGCCAGTGTGGCTAGATGCTGAATCCACCATCAGATTGGCTGTGCTGAAGTTGGCTGTAGCACCTCGGTACGGGAGGGGTGGCAGCAGGGGACGTCTGCAGAGGGGCTGAGCAAACCATCACTGCAGTGAGCAGTGACCCAAACTTGGACCTGAAAGCTGGAGAGGGCTTTTGGAAGGGCTGGAGGCTTTTGCCTGTTCCAGTCTAATTGTTCTGGGGATTTCCCTTATGTTTCCTGGGAGCCAGAGGGATTAAAGTCCTGTTGCAGAAGGGAGTAACCCCACCAAACCCTGCTGGGGTGCAGGGAGTGGAATCATTGGAGGGCGTTCTGCAGCCACAGACTGCACAGCGGTTTTATAGAATATCTGAATTTCATGTGCCACTCACCTCCATCATGCCTAATTTTGGGGAGGTTCCTACATTGCCTGCGGGGAGGCTGATGGAGGGGCCTGACTGCTGCCAGTCCATCCCTCCTGAGCTGTTTGGGGGGCACCAACTCCTCCTTGGCAGCCTAACGAGCCCCGTGTGGACCCCCAAGCACTGCCCGTTCCGCAGCAGCTGACACCCCACCCCGATGCATGTGCCATGCACCGAAGCCTCTCCGGCCTCGTGTAACCCCTCTCTTGCTCTGAGCTTCCTCGGGATGGGGCACCCAATGTGGATCCCTACTGGGAGAAACACCAGGGACCCCTGCTCCTCACAAATGGGCTGGAGACATGCCCAGCTCCGGCCACGGCGGGCGGGAGGGGGCACATACTAACCTGTCCCGGGCGGATGTTCTTGCATGTTTTTGGTGTAAAGCATGAAAATTAACTTAACATAACTGAGTGTCACATCTGTGGGCTTTCCTTATCAGCAACCAGAGTACAGCAAGGCAGGCCAAATTCCTAGGCTTAACGCTGTGCTTCTCTCGCCTCTTCCTGTCTGTGTTTTTTTTTTTTTTTAAAGATACATAACTTCTGTCGCCTTTTGCATGACGCTTTCTGTGAGTTTTCTTTTTGCATGCTCCATTGCTTTGGTTTGAATCTCACAAAGGTTGGTTTCTTTCATTTTTACATTCTCATCACACCTTTTCCCTCCCTCCACTTATCGGGTTTTTTGTTTTTTTCCTTCGTTGGTTTATTTTATTTTGCAGGTAGAGAAATTAGATCCTCCCTAGTCTTAAGCTTTAGCGTAACAACATCTCTCTAATGCGATGAGCAGCCATTCAGTCCTGTTTGGCAGGCACAGAAATGACATCTCCACACCAGCTGGTTGTCTCCCTGCGTTTGGGTGGGATGTGATGTCATTTGCTGTCACCTCACTTTCTGTTGTTGCTTTTGGTTTGTAGGACTGTGTTACCTGAACTGTGCACTTTTTGTTTCACAACCAAATGAACAAACATGCTAAAAAAAGCAGTTCCTTTCCCCTCCACATGTTCCATCCTCTCTTCCATCTCACCCTTCCCATTTTTCTCTTGTCTGTCTTGTCTCTGTTTTACTGCTGGTGTTTCTTTTTCATTGTTTTTTTGGTTCTGTTTGAGTTTGGGTTTATTATTTTCCTTTTAGCCTGTTACTGTACAGCTGTTTTGATGTTGTGGTCAGTGTTTTCTGTTACTGGAAAGCAGTTGTCGCTCATTAAAAAAATTTTAAAAAAAAAGTTGGTTAAACAAAACAAATTGTGCCAAGAACAAATCATCCCAATTGGAGCATGTGGGTAGCAGCCAAATCGCTGTGAGGAGCTTTTCCATGGCCTGCCTGGCCAGAGGTGTGACACTCAGAAGGGAGAGCCAAGAGTGTTACTAATCTAGTATTTAATCAATTTTTTTAAGACCGAGGTGGCCGCCTCGCCATCAGGTGCCTGGCAGAGGCTCCACAAAGTCAACCAAGACCTCCAAAGCGAGCTGGAAGCCCAATGCCAGCGTCAAGAGGTGATCAATCAGCAGATTCAGTCGTTGAAGCGCAGCTACGCCGAGGCCAAGGATGTGATCCGGCACCACGAAGCCGAGATTCAGAGCCTGCAGGCGAGGCTCAGCAATGCGGCGGCTGAGCTCTCCATCAAGGAGCAGACCTTGGCCAAGCTCAAGAGCGACCTGAGGAGCGAGAAGGAGAAAGCCAAAGAGCAGCTGGAGGAGTGGCAGCACGGTGAGGCTGCGCTCAGCTCCCAGCTGAAGGCCAGCGAGCAGAAGCTGAAGAGCGCAGAGGCTCTGCTGCTGGAGAAGACCCAGGAGCTGAGGAACCTGGAAATGCAGCAGGCTCTGCAGAGGGACCATCAGAAGGAAGTGCAGCGGCTCCAGGACAGGATAGCAGATCTCAGTGGGCAGCTGAATGCCAGCGAGCAAGCACGGGTCCTCATGGAGGAGAAGCTGCAGAGGAACTATGAGGCTTTGCTGGAGAGCTGCGAGAGGGAAAAGCAGGTTTTAATACGGAGTCTGAAGGAGGTGGAGGATAAGGCCAACGAGTATGAGAACCAGCTGCAAAACAGTGAGCAGCAAATTGAGATTCTGCAGAAGGAGAAGTTGAGCGCCAAGTTTGAAGGCAGTGAGCTGGTCCACCAGCTGGAGGAGCAGCTGGTGATGAAGGAGGCCAGCATCCAGAAACTCGCCGAGCACATCAAGGAGCTCGAAAGAGAGAGGGATCAGATCAAATGTCGGTTCCAGGAGCTCATGAATCAGGTTGCTGAATCAGATAACGAAGTTGCAAAGCTACAAGCAAAGTTGAAAATGGAAGAGACTAACTACCACAATCTGGAACAATCGTTCGAGGAGGTGTCGGATCAGTTCCGGGGTGTGCAGGAGGTGCTGAAAGAGAAAGAAGAAGAGCTGAGACACGTTAAGGAAATGCACTTGAGAATTGTGGAGAAGAAAGATCAAGATCTCAGTGAGGCTTTGGTTAAAATGGTTGCTTTAGATAGCAGTTTAGAGGAGACTAAAGTAAAGCTAAAGGCCAAGGAGGAGGCTTTAAAGAAATTAGCTAGTGTGGGCACAGGTCCCTGTGCTGAGGAGGTAGAAGACCTTGGCCCCAGCCTTGAGGCTGACGAAAGTCATTCGTCCCAACTGGGGCAGGCTCTGCAAACTCAGGATGTCCTCCCAGCTCTGACTTACGCACTGAAGGAGGAGGAGGATGAGGTGCTTGAGACCAACCAGAGGCAAGCAGAGGAATTCGGTTCCCCATCCAAAGCTGTAGAGCTTCAGGACCAAGAGTTGATTCAAAAAGCCTTAGCAAAGCCTGACGTAGGAATCATGGGGGCCAAGAGGCAAAGGATCCGTTTCTCAAGCATCCAGTGCCAAAAATACATCCATCCAGATGGATCAGAGAAAAACTGGACAAGCAGTACCTCTTCAGACACGAGCCAGGACAGATCGCTGTCTGAGGAAAGCATGTCCTCAGAGCCAGCTCTGGGTTACCCCTCATCGGGGGCAGGTGACTCTGAGACTTACCTCTCCATCATCCATTCTCTGGAAACCAAACTGTATATTACAGAGGAAAAACTCAAAGATGTAACGATGAAGCTTGAAAGCCAACACGGCCATAACCAGGAGACACTCATTGCCCTCCACCAGCAGTGGGCCAGCACAGAGTCCCAGCTGCGGGAACAGCTTCAGACCAGCCTGTCCCAAGTCAATGCTTTGATCTCGCAGCTGGAGAGCGAGAGGCAGGAAAAGTTCAAGCTCATAGAAAGTCACGTCAGCGAGCTGGGAGGTTTCCAAATGAAAAACAATCAA